AGTAGTCCCTGATATCTGACCTGACACAGCGCACACACCACATGTTAGCAAGTCTTCTGACTCAGTAATGCTACTTCTTCCAAATTTAACAAAAAAGTTTTTAAAATCTTACACAGAGCTGCTTAAATTAAATGTTTTCAAAATCTACATTCAAAAAACGTACTTACATTTACATTTATATTCAGCAGATTATTCATTTATTCATTTATTCATTGTGAACCCTGCTCACTCATGTGCAGGGTGAGCATGTAATCTAACAATGGGCTTAACAGATTAAAAACATACATAATTCAATTATTCAAAATGCTTTTTTAACTCTAAAATATTGTGAGATTATACCCCCCACATTTGGGGACCATACCTCTCACTCTCGTAATTCACTTCACAGATCATTCCTAAACAGTTCAAGTATGATACCATTTACAGTTGCTGTTGAAGTTGTGTACTCTAAGCCTCTCTCTGTCCATCCGTCTGCCTTCCTGCCCGTTTGTCTAAGCTCCGCAGGCTGTCCAAATTACCCGCTCGCAGCCACTCAGCTGCTAGGCCCACTGCCATATTGCTGCAAAAACCTTTATTGGTTTTATGAGTGGGGTTAAAATGACTATCTGGAGGAGGGCCACAAGGAGATTTAATTATTAATGCGGCAATAAAGCAATCTCCGAAATCTGCAGTTTTGTTAGCGCCGATTAGCGTCCTCATTATACAAACGAGCGCAATCAGGGGAGATTATAAACCGTGATCAGGTATGGTCTGTGATTTTTATAGTCCTCTGATGTTTGGGCGATCAGTTTGATGGGCGAGGGGGATCAGTGACAGCCGGCTCGCCTCCAGGTGCAGGTAGGAGACGGACGCAGTGACAGCAAAAAGCATCCGTCCAGCTGCATCTGTGCATGTGAGGCAAAAAAGACGGAAAAAAAGAGGGAAAGAGAGAGAGAGAGCGATGGCAGTGTCAGCCTAAAGCCAGGCGCTTGCTCTTAGCATGCCCGGTGTGTCTTTGGAGTCTTTGTGAAGAGCCCTGTCGCTGTCTCTCTGCCAGACTGCTGCACACAAACATTTTTCCCCAGGCTGCCATTCCTACTTAACACTCTCCATCAGGCCTGCGCTCGCAGTGATTGGCAGTGCAGGAGGCGGCATTAGCATTTTCACCGCCTGCCAGCCGAGGCTAACCGAAGGCGATCCAGTGGAGTGTGGCTGGAATTAACAATGCCGAACTCTTCTCCCGTCTCTCTCTCTGTCTCTCTGTCTGTCTCTGTCTCTCTCTCTGTCTCTCTGTCTCCCTTTCTCTTTCACTCTCTCTCTCTCTTTCTCGCTCTCTCTCTCTCTCTTTTTCTCTCTCTTCCTCCTCCATCTCTCTCTCTCGCTCCTTACTCTGTTTTCTCTGTGTCTGTCTGTTTCTATATCTCTGTCTCATTCTTGCTTTCTTTCTTTACCCCCTCTGTCTTCCTTTCTCAATTTCTACCCCCCCCTCTCTCTCTCTCTCTCTCTCTCTCACTCACTCTCTCTCTTCCTCCCCCTCTCTCTCTGTCTCTCTCTTTCTCTTTTATTATATCTTTCATTTGTCTTTCACTTTCCTCTCTCTCTCCCTCTTCCCCTCTTTACCACTTTCTGTCTCTTTTTTCTCTCTGTTCCTCTTCTGTCTCACTGTCCTTTGTCTCTCTATCTCCTCTTTTTCCCCTCTCTCTTTTTTACCTTCACTCTCCCTGTTTCTCGCTCTCTCTTTCACAGTCTCTTTTCAATCTTCCTTCTCTTGCTATCTCTTCTATTTTCTTCCTTCTCTCTTTCTTTTTTATCTCTCTTTCTCTCTCTCCAGTATCTATCTCTATCTCCCTTCTCTCTCTCCAGTCTCTATCTCTGTCTCCTTTCTCTCGCCCTCTCCTTCCCTTTCTCTCCTCATCTGTCTCCTTTCTGTCTCCCTCTCTCTCTCCAGTCTCTTTTTTTACTTCTGCTCTCTCTCTCTTTCTTTCTCCCTCTCCTTCCCCCTCTCTCCTTATCTGTCTCCTTTCTGTCTCCCTCTCTCTCTCCAGTCTCTTTTTTACTTCTCTCTCTCTCACGCTCTTTCTGTCTTCTTTCTCTTGCTATTTCTTCTCTTTTCTCTCTTCTCTTTCTTTCTTTTTCTCTCACTCTCTCTAGTCTCTTTCTCTATCATCTTTCTCTTTCCCTCTCTCTCCCTCTCTCTTTTTCTCTCTATCTTCTCTCTCTTTCTCTCTCTCCTCTCCTCATCTGTCTTTCTCTCCCTTTTTATCTTCTCTCCCTTTCTGTCTTCTCTCTCTCTCTAGTCTTTCTCTCTTTATCCTCTCTTTCTCTCTTCTGCCTCTCTTATCTCTCCATCTCCTCTCTCTCTCTCTCTCTCTCTCTCTCTCTCTCTCTCTCTCTGCTCTTCTCTATATGGTAATGAAGGCAGATGTATTGTGTTAGTGTGTGGATTGTAAAAGAGTGCGACGCTTACTGACTTTTCTCAGTTCTGCCCTTAATCAATCCACCTTACGTCATGCGATGACCAAACTTTGGACTACTTTGCTTATTTTTCAAGACCTTAAATGGTTCGATCTTCTCCCTCCCTCTCAAAAACCTTTGGCACCCCTTTTTTCCAAAAGGAAAAAAAAATCCTGCTTAGAGCTGCCAAGAAACTCCATCTCTTTGCTGGAACAGTTCATCTGAGCCTTGAAACATCCTCTTTCCCATTTCTCTGAGAAATGACCTGCGCTGGATTTAACGCAATGTCTTCAGAAACGGCTCTCGTTCTCTCATGTACATTTGGGTCACATTGTATTTCATTGTGAAAATGGCATTATCATTTTCTGCCCCATCACCAGCGGTTGCTGGTGTATCTCTGGGGAACGCAGATAGCGCTCGTCTCGCCTCTGCTACCGGCGGCAGCTGCACAGGAACATCAGCCATTATTATGGGATGGCGGGGAGATAATTCACACTGGCGTTATCTGCAGCCCCCCTATCTGTGCGTACAATGGGAGCAGAGTGAATGTAGATAAGATGTCATTGGCTCACTGATGTATGGATAAGCAGGCTTCAGTGAGTTGGGCCCAGAGGCATTAGCCACACACTGCAGTCACGCCCTCATCATTTACAAATGGCCATCGCCAGAATCAGCAGATTTTTAACTGGAAGCACTGAAGCCTGTTAATTCAGTTTGTCCTCTTGTATAAGGCTCTAATCCTGGCCAGGAGATGGTTTACAGCAGTGGTTCCTGGTCTTGAAGGATCCATTTCCTCCACAGTTGAGTGTTTTCCCTGTTTGTCAGCTGATTAGTTGGATCTTTTGTGTTTAAGAGAGTTCAGTGCTGAAACATTAATATATATGACTATTTTAAGATTAAAGATTAAGACTTACTAAACTATTCAGAAGCATAAGATGAATTTTATACTCCAGTAGTTTAGTTAGATCTTGGCTGACAGATATGATGTCATTTCTCAATTATCACACCCCTTAGCCCCTTAAAATCCCAGGTTTATTCAATGTTAAGGCTTATTACTCAGTAACTACAGGGACTCCAGTACAAACTGGCTGAGCTATTCATAGGTTATAGAAATGTGTAATAAACTTTGGGCCTGCATGTGGGACCTGGCCATTTAAGAGGTAAAAGCTGCACTATTTAAGATTTCGGCATTTGGGATATCCTCTCTGTTGGAATCAAGGAATTACATGCAAAGTGCAGAAGGACATTTTGGATTGTCGGTTGTGCTTCAGACCCCCTCCAGTGGATCAGTCTGATGATTCGGAGCATGTTGAGGCTTATTATGCAGTAACTACAGGGACTTCAATGCAAACTAGCTGAGCTATTCTTAGAATATAGAAGGGCTCTGGCCATTTAAGGGGTTAATTCAATTAAACAGCAGAAACTCACATTACATAATATGTATATGCATAATATGTTGTTCTCATGCTAAAGATTTTACATCACATTTTTTTTAAACAAAGGTGGTTGTTTTTCTCCTAAACTTCACCAGTTCAGTCTGTATTACCATAACATGGTTAAACAGAAGGTGCCACTTCTTTGGTTCCCCAGTGGCACAGCCTTCTAAAGCCTTCTTTAATCACAAGTTCAAATCACTGCTATATCCAGACAAAAAAGTGGGCAATTATCAGTGCATTACCAGTGATATTTTGACCAATACCATTATTGGAGGAAATCATCGGCCAACTTATATATCACTCAAGCTCTAATTATGACTAATAGGTGCTAATAGCTTCTATTCTTTCACAGTATCCTGGTTGACTTGGATGAAATACGATGAAAAGCAGCCAAACGTAGTGTGAAATGAAACATGCACGGTTAAGTTTCAGTTTTTATAGGTTAGGTTTTTACAGTTTCAGAACAAATGCACATGTTGTGCCCATATTTATTTGTATAGTACATAAATAAAGGTGTTGAAAAGGCTACTTTGAAGTGAAACTATAGCAGAACAACTTATGGTTCATGAAAGAACCTTTAAATGGATAGTCCATTTTTATAAATGAGATATGTGAGTGTGATGAATACTTTTAAAATTTAAAGAACCTCTGCATCAGTGGTTCTCAGACCAGTCCTGAAGGCCCCTACATTTCTGCTCCAGCCTAACTCACAATGGAGCAAGAAATGTGGACCGTCTGGAGGCCCTGAGGACAGGTTTGAGAACCACTGCTCTACATAATGGCTCTGATTAAAGGTCATCCAAGACAAAAACCTTTGAAGATCCTTTTACTATTAATAGTATTAATACTTTCTCCCATTAGCGCACACAGTGTTTTCATTTGTGTACGTGAGTGAAATGCTCACACTGTGGAGCTCTGCATATGCAGGGCAGCAGTGCCCCAGGGAACAGGAACCTTTACTTTAGAGTCTTCCCTGTTCTGTATATGAGGATACTAAAAATGGATGCATTGTTAGTGAAAATGCTCAAAAAAAAACTCTTCTGTTGCATAAATCTGCATAAATTGCAGCGCAATGGTATGTAATTCTTCGCCTCAAGTGACTGAGGACTGACAATGCTGTCTTTCTGACAGGTGGCCCAGGCAGATGGCCTCGTCCAATGGCCTGTGTCGTTACGGCGCGCGCATCGACTGCTGCTGGGGCTGGACGCGGCGTTCCTGGGGACACTGCCAGCGTGAGTAACCGCTGCTACCGTGGGCAACCAGGGCTCTGGGGCCAGCTTAGAGGGGCTTTCATTACTGTTAGATGCTCTAAACTCTCAGCTGCACATACTTAACACTCACACACTTGCACTGACCACACAGCAAGTCACTAGTTCATTACGGTCCAGTCCAGCACTGTTTGGTGATTTCCTTGTTCGAAGTCTCCTCATTCAACTCAGCACCTACCAGATTTAGTAGTAGGGATGGGCATTTGAGTTTTTGAATATCCATTTTTTAAAAATGAATAGTATTTGAATATCCCACTGAGAAAATGTTTATATTGTTATGAGTAAAAAAACAAAAACAAAAATTTAAAATTTTTGTTTATTACAGCTAAAATAAGTAATACATAATTAGCGTAATTGTTGGGTGCACTGTAAAACAATTACTGTAAAATTTACAGTACTTTACTGGCAGCAGAATTGCCAGTAAAGTACTGTATATCTATGATAAATAATTGAAGAGCTTATATACTGTAAAACACTGTAAATTATTTACAATAATAACCTATGCATTTACTGTAAACTTACTGTACTTTACTGGCAACTCTGCTGTAAGTTTCTGTAAATTACATTGTCTGATATGTTACTGTAAACCAATGCACTAAGTGCCTATAATGTGAGATCCTGCAAAATAAATACTAATTGTATACTAAATGTACTGCATTTTTCACAGTGTGCAGCAATAATCTGACCTGATCTTGTTGTTGATTTAGTGATTTATGTTTTTAGGTGTCTGTGATTTAACAATATAACTATATAATTATATAATTTTTGTATAGAGCTCCACGTATATGTCATCACTTAATGTGATGCAAAATCAACTGCTTTGCCCGACATCAAAACTTATTAAAAACGACATGCTTAGTCAGAAACCTATACGAATACTAAGGATGTGCATTTCAGACTTATGTTGATATTCAAGTATCCATATGAGTTAATGAGCGGATGTCAGGTTATTGGCGACGGAGGAGAATTTTTATGCCTCATATCATAAAATGTACAAACAAATGATATCATATATAAACAAAATTCAGCAGCACACAGAGATGTATATTTGAAAGTGTGACATTATCATTCAAAAACAGCCAAAGGGAAATCTTTAGAGGCAGCCTTGAATGAGCTAATGAGCTAACGCTAACACTAGAGCTAACCAGTGCATCAGTAGACAGTGATGACTCATTGTCTTCTGCAAATAAGTTATCCTCCTTAGTGGATGATGTTTCAGCATGTTCATTTGTTGAGTTAACACTGAGCACATCGTTCTAGCTTATGGCAGTTAGAGTAGTTAGCCGAGTTACAGCCACTCTACCTCTGCCTTCTCAATCACGTCCTTAGCAAGGTGACCTTGTGAACATGGTTACAGTAGCGCAATCGTGTGTCATGGTAGCAAAGTGCAATATGATAAACTTACTTAATATTAAACATAAGGAAAATTCACACTTTACAGCCCTGTTAGAGCAGAATGACTTTATTAAACTGTCGTCCTGTATATTCTCTCCCTGACTTTCCATGATTCAGTGTAATTAATTTTTAGATAGTTATTATTGAAATAATGGCATGTAGAGATGCCAAATCAGTATCAATGCTGAATCAGATATCAGAAGGAAAAAAGCAAGATTCTGATTCAGTCCTGTAACAAATCTGCCCTGAAACAGCACACATTCACATTGTGTCGTGTGATGCTGTATTTCTTCCTGTGGGGTAGTACAGAGTTTGAGCATGTTAGGCTACTTTAGATGCTCATCTCAAATAAAGTGCTTTGCTTAAAAATAGCTTATTTTAAAGGGCCCATATCCACTTATGATATTTGTGTGGTTTTATGTGCCGAAGACAGGCACAAGTAAACTGGCTGTTAACTTTTCTGTTCTGTCAGTTCTGTCACTATGCCTCTAAGGCTGAGATATGTAAATGATCTCTGTTCTGATTGGCTGTCCTGCGGTGTGCCTCATTCAAAAGCAGTCCAGGCTGAAACACGCATAATTTTCTTAAATAGGTTGGAATAGCTGGCTGCACTGGGGGATATATGTATTGAATTGGGTTTTGGAAGATCTCAAAAACAGTGCATTCGTAATGGTACAGTGTGAAACTTTATTAATGTTTACGCACTATGTTAAACATGTATTTTATATTCATGTTTTAAAAAAAAAAGCAAGGAAAATTACTAACTAGTATTTAAAGAGGAACAGTCTGTTTCAAATGATCCTCAAGGTGTCATTATCAGTATCAGAAAAAATGCCATCTCTCTACCGACATATGGAACAGTAAGCTGAGTACGCAAGTACCTTTACACATCCCTAGTGCAGTTATTTAATATTTTTGTTCCAAACTACACATGCCTAACTCACTTGTCCAATTAAGGAAACAAGAACTGAGTTCAGACATCCATATAAGGGAATAACAATGCCCATCCCTATTTAAGCAGGGAAATGACCACTGTGCTGGATGCCAGGACTGGAATTAGACACCCCAGGTGTAGACTGTTATGCAGAACATGCAAATGAACATCCTAAAAACAGACAGATTGCTGTATGATTACTAATTTGTCAGCTCAGTCTGTTAATATTTCGGTGCAAACACCTTCTGCTTGTGATGAACTGGTGACTTAGGTCAGAACAAACCTGTAGATATTAATAAATATTATAACACCCTGACAGAAGCTCGAACCTTCAGGCTCACCGAATACACCTACTTTCAAGCTCACAGAGGATGGCTGCAAATAAGCTTCTTTTAGATGAGATTGTGGCAACAAAAAGCATCAACTCTCTTTTATCCTGGAGGTGCAAAACACGAGAAGGGGGGAAAAAAGACTTCCGTGAAGTACACGCTCCGCTTTCAAAATATTCTGCAGCAAATGATTCCCGAAAGCATGCAGTGCTGATTAAAGTGATCTCGTCAAGGGCCTCCAAAATGAATGTGCAATCATTGGAGATGTCCAAAGAGCTGCGCTACTCGTGAGCTCTCATGTCCTACTCAAAGTGATGAGCTCTCTAATGCAAAAAAGCACAAAAAAAGCACCACATCTATCTCTTCTCCCAGATTTTTTTTCCCTCTATGCAGATGAACTCATCAAATTTATGGATCGTTCAGAGGATGGGCCACCACCACTTGCATTAGAACCATTAGCATGCTTCATTTGTCTGTTGCCATATGTTTCATGCAGATGTCATAAGAAGGTCTGTAGAGATGTGGCATATTCCTGCCCTATTTGCCTCATCACTATATAGAAATAGACTTGCACTTTTTGTAGTTGCACTGGGAGACATGTGAGGACATCATTAGCGAGTTGAACGCATCCAGCAGCCTGACAAATGCATGATGCTCCCTGCATGGCTTGTGCGCATGATAGTCCAGCTGTTGCTTTGGCTGCTGAAGCGCGGTACATCGGAGGGGTTTGCTCTCTCTGCACCCGGAGAAGGAAGCCACTCGTCTCCCTCATTAATGCACGGAGCTGGAACTAATAGCTAATGCGCTTTCCTAACCCCGTGGCGTTTGACATGCCAGTGCACTGAGCCGAGAGTCGGTCTTATCTCATTTAGTTCATCTGCCACCTGTCACATTATCACAGGTGGGGCGGTATGAAAATGAAGCATCGGTGCATCCCTGTAATTTTCTGTTGGGTGGATGAGTGAGGGTGAGAGTGAGTGCACACGTCTCTTACATTTCCTTTGGTGCTCTTTCAATTACAGCTGCAGTAGAAGAAGAATCTGAAACTGACGCAGGCGAATGTTGTCTTTAGTCTGAACACTAATAATGTGAAGTACTAAAAACAGACCAGTTAAAAAAAATACACTGTGTTACGGCAACATCTTGGCACCCCTGCATTTGTAGTGTACATGCAAACAGGGCAAATCTATGTAGCTGCCTTCTGGAAAGGAAATGCTTGAACTGAACATCACACTACAGAATAGGGATGGGATAAAATATCGATACAATGATATTTACTTTTGCGATATGTTATTTCACCGGCACCAAATACCAAAGTATTTATTGAAACATGCAAGCCGTAAACGTTCTAAATGGTCTGTCCCTCCAATTTGATTTACCAGATTCACTAATTCATGACCCGCTATGGCGCTAATCGAATGAATAGGGTAAACCTGCAGTGAAGAAAAATAAACTCACAGGGGAGAAATGGCGGACAAACAAATCAGACAGGCATCATCCTCTTTCAAGTCAAAGGTCTGGGCCACTTTGGCTTTTACAGCATTGAAGGGACAAATGAAAGAGACAAAGACGGTGAAGAAATATCTTGTTAAAATAAAGATACACGGGCAACACAATGAACATGCATAGCCACCTTCATCATCATCCTGATCTATTTGTTGAGGAAACAGCTAACGTTGCCACAACTTGAAGTCAGCCTCCAATTAATACAGGTTTTAAAGCAAAACCTCCTGTTACGCCCCGAGGGCTACCAGTATTACTAAGTCTATCGCAGGGTTTATTTGCAAGGACCTTCACCCACACAGTTAGAAAAGATCTTAGTGAGGCACAGTTGTGTTCTACCTTTAGACATTTTAACCCCAGAACTGCTCTGCTTTCTGGCAGTTTATGGCTGTTTTGCATTTGAATGATGACGCATGCAGTCAGTGTGTGTGTGTTCATGAGGCATGAAGCTAAGCTATGCACTTTTATGTACATTGTTTCATATTGGTTGTCAAAAACTGACTACAATAAATAAATAATTCCTGCTATTTCCAGACAAAACAGCTTCTGGTTCCAGGAAAAACACCATCATGTCTCTGTCGTACGGTTTAACTTCAGACAAAACAGCAAAGTCTGTATGACATTCACGATTCTGTCCTTTCTTGCTAGATTTATTACAACTTTGTGGCCAAATTAAAGATGACAGTACACAGCAACCACAGCTCTTACTGAACTGTGCTGTTATTATATGTCTTTGTTACTATTACTGTACTCTCTCTCGCATCTGCCTAAGAGTCCATCACAAAATGTCCCGAGGAAAAAGT